CAATATTGGGGGACCCCAGAAGGTAGGCTATCCCCTTTGTCCTGTGTTCAGGGTTCCTGCTGGGTCAATAGTAGTAAGGATAGAATTACATGTTATAATAGAGTTACAAATATTATATTATAGAATTATTATATATTATATTATATATTATATATTATAGAATTATTATATACACTATGTTAAAGATAGCTCCTGTTGGCACAGGAGCCAACAGGCCTTGAAAGAGACAGATAGCAACCTAGAGTGGGCCAGCAGATATGGTGCGTGACCACAAGGAGATCCTGCCCCTCTCTGAGCCTGGGGCACCCTGGCCATTATGAGTCTGGAGTCCTCTGATGGTCAGAGACCATTGTGGCGTGTGAATGGAGCTGAAGTGAACTTGATGGGGGGAAAAGAGAGCCTGGGGACCCTCCTTATGACATAACCCTATCAGAAGGAGTCAGCCAGCCTTGATTCCTGAGAGCTGACTGTTGAGAACCTAGGAAGTTGTGATCCCATTGTTAAGCTAGCTCTAGCCAGGAAATGAGCTATAAAGCAGTCCCCTGCCCTCCTGCCGGCCTGTGCCCTAGCACATTGCTGCCACATGCCTGTCCCACACTCTCTCTCTCTTTTGGGAAAGCCCATCTGGTACTCTCTGTAGTCCAGTCAATGCTATGCTTCCAACCACTGTATGGCTTAGGGCCCTGAACCTTGGAGCCATCCTGTGCCACCCCGAGAAATGCCAGCCACCCCTTGCCTGAGAGCCGGGTGTGTGCAGAGAACAGCCTGGAGCCAAGGAAGTCAGCTCTCGAGTTTATGGGATCTGTGGCTAGGTGCTGGAGCAGCCTTGTGATCAAGGTTTCCTCCCATCAGTTGGGTCAGAGTCCCAGCTGCGCTAATGGCCCTACTCCAGTTGTCCCTCTAGCCTTGGTTTCTCCAATAAGACAGGAACACTTGCCTATAAAGTTGCTGTGAGGAGAAGAGAGGCCAGTTAGACTAAGAGATAGAAAAGCAGAGCATTAGGAAAGTTCAAGACAGGGCCTATCCAGGTTCAAATCCCAGTGCCACCACTTTCCACCTGTGTGACTTTGGCTAACTTAAGTGACCTCTCTGAACTTTAGCTTTCAGATGATATCTTTAGGAGTAAAGAGGGTAGAGTGTAAATACCTCTTTTATTGGGTACTACAAAGATTAAAAAGGCCAACACCTAGCACAGACCTTGGGTATCTATGCTCTCAGTTCCAGATCAGGAGTTCCTGTAGAGGGTGTTTTTCCCTGGGCAGTTTCCAGTGGCATTATTGATTGTTGTGGGGAGTAACTGAAAGAACTGTGGGCTGAGATCGTGGTTAGCACCCTCACAGCTTGTCCCTGCCAGATGGCCAGTAGCCCTGAAGCTAAGGAACTTCTTTTTGTGTGTGCAGACACATCTAAACCTTCCCTCTTGGGGGTCCTTGCGTTTTAGTTTGGGAGATAGGCAATAAGGACTCTGTAGTGCTGGCTAAGTGCTACGTCTCAAAAGAACAAACAAACTGAAAAGCAGGGTATAGAAATAGAGTGGTGAAAGATGCCATTTTAGTCAGGGCAGTCAGAGTCGGAGAGAGATGTCAAGATGGACAAGGTGATATATAAGAGCATTCACGGGCTGGGTGGTGGTGGCATACACCTTTAATCCCAGCACTTGGGAGACATAGGCAAGCAGATCTCTGTGAGTTCGAGGCCAGCCTGGTCTACAAATCAAGTTTCAGAACTGTCAGGGCTGTTACACGGAGAACCCTGTCTCGGAAAACTAATAAAAACAAAACAGTAACAACAGCAACAACAAAAAAACCACCATGACTTGGGGCTGGAGACACAACTCAGTGGCTAGGAGCACTCACTTGATTTTGCAGAGGATCCTAGTTCAATTCCCACATCAGGTAACTCACAACTGTCTGTAACTCCAGCTCCAACAGATCTGACACTTTCTTCTGGTCTCCACAGACACCTGCACTGACATCTACACACACACACACACACACACACACACACACACACACACACACACACACACGTATTTAAAGTTAAAAATAAACTTAACACACACACACACCATGACCAAAAGTGAGTTAGGGTGGAAAGGGTGTATTTCGTTTGTGTCAAGTTGACAAAAACCAGTTGGTACAAGAAGATAGGCGGGGGAGGGCACAGAGAGCGTGGCCAACATTCTGATTTCATTCCAAGAAAGAAGAGAAACTTTTGGCAAGTTTGTGAGGCGCTGGCTCTGACAATTCAAGGAATGCCACCATATTCTGAGTGCCAATGATGTTGGTGCTAGACCAAGAGCCTTTCACACTCGGTGCCCTTGGAACCTGTACCCTGTGGGCTTCATCAATTGTCAGTGGCCTCCTTTTTCTCAGGATACAGAACTATTTCTCTGGCAGGATGGTGGGCAGAGGACCCTGGAAATGTGGCTAAGGATGAAGGGTCTCTGGAATTGTAGGCTTAGTCAGCTCCTTCTTTCCTGGACATGACTTTGAGAAGTGTCTAGGGAGGCTACCTCAGCTCTGCCTCTGTTCTGGCTGCCACTTCTTTCATAACCCCCTCCCCCCAGCAAATCTGCATTTGGCTTTCAACAGAAGGGGCTGGAGTGGACTCCCGACCGAGTCTGCCCTTAGGTGCTTGTCAGTGGCTGTGTGCATCTTGTCTCGTAGCCTTGGAAGCTGTGTTATCCCCAGCACCAACTAGTTAGCTCCTCTTTACAATGTCCCCGTGGGAAGTTTACAGATGGTTCCTTGGGGCCACCAGTCCAGAAGTGGCAGAGCAGATTCCCGCTGGGCACAGGCAAGTTTTGTGGGGTGCCTGGCCATGGAAAACACTCAACACCCATTATCATTGCTCTGCCACAGCGACTTCAGCAAGCCAGCCGGCCAGCTATAGACTGGGGCCCATCGCTGGAAGAGAACCGGACAGGCATGTATGTGGCCACACTGGCTGGGAGCCAGTCACCAAAGCCTCTGATGGTACACATGCGCAAATACGGAGGCATCACCAGCTTCGAGAATACGGCCATTGAGGTAGACCGCGAGATTGCAGAGGAAGAGGAAGAGTCCATGATGTGAGACTGGAGACTACCAAGCAGGAGGGATGGCCAGGGCCTCACAGTCCCTTCCTTGGGGACCTGCAGGGGACAGCTCTGCCTGCTGGGATTCTGAAAGGCAGTTGGAGGTTGCTACAGCAATTTCAGTCCCCAGTATAAGTCCCTCTTTGTGGCCTCTGCCTCTCCTGGACCTCTATCTAGATGGACACACACACTACGTAGTCCAATCAAAACTGAAATGATTTGGCTCAGCCTTCACTTTGCAGAGGGATGTGTTGAAACCAGGGAGGGAAGAGCTGGCCCAAGGTCACATGCCCAAGAGCACTTGCTCCCAAGCCACCAGCCAGCCAACTCCCTTCCTCTTGGGGCAGTGGGCACCATATTTGATATTTTGTTCAAGACATTTTGACAAGACATATTTCCATACAAACCAACATTAAACTTGGGGGTCCAGTGAGAGGCCTGGAGGGTTCCAAAGCCCAGGATATAGTTAGTAGTAAATGAATTAGACAGAAAAATCTCTGTGGGTTCCTGTGTTAAGGCCAAGTTTCTCAGAAGAGGTGGGAACTAGGGGGCTGGGGGCATGTAAAGGATTGTAGAACAGACAGGAGGCCAACCGGGGCCAGAGCTGTCCCTGAGCCAGGAGGAGGCCAACCTGCCAGAGCAGAGACCAAGGATGGCTGGAGATGGTGATGGTCACAGGTTATGAGAGGGAGTGAGGAATAGCAGGGAGGGGGAGCCAGAAAGGCAGGGTGGGAGGGGGCTTGCATGGCACTGCATATCACTTTAGGTCTGTTAAGGGTGGATGAGGGACAGGTAGAGATATGGGAGGCTTCTGAAGGACAGATGAGAGGTCCTAGTAGCTGGAGTGGGAGTAGATAGGCAGAGCCCACCCTTCACCACGTGGACTTTGTTCCTTGGGCTGGCAGGAGGCCCAACGAGCACCCGCCATGGAGGTAGGAATGAAGGCTGCAGTTAGAATCCTTTTCCCCATCCCTGTGGCTTCTGATGACAAAGACAACCAAGACCCAGAGATGGTCCATATAAGATCTATGTCCTGATGCTGCAGGGCTCCTGACATGAGGGCAGCCTCTGTCCTGGGTCTCTGAGAGATGGCATTCAGGTGTGGCTACCTACTAGCTGTCCTGCCATTGCATTTCCCAGCAGAGCAGGGCATTTTCATGCAACATAGTGAGTGGCCTTTGTGCCCACCTCATCCTGGCATCTCCCCAGCCCATTTGTGTTCTGCTGGCTGACTGTCAATAAATACCGAGTGAGGTCACTCTCCTTACCTGACTCTTTGCTACTGAGGGCACAGTGGGCATCAGAGAGTACGTGCCAGCTCCCACTGGACAGAGGAGGGGTCCAAGGCTAGCCACTTGCTTCTTTCAACCCTGACTTGTAATGTCTCTGGATAAATGCTGGGCCTCTAGAAATTGCTCAGTCTCCCATTATATGTAAAGGCAAATGGAGCCCCAGAAGGGAGAGACTTGCCCAAAGTGGGGAGGATAGCAGGTCATGACAGCATCCACAAGACAAATCTCTTCAAGTGAGGCTGGAGCTGATGTTTTTGGGTTTCCTACAGAAGAATCTCCTGGTGTTCTCAGCTCCTTCCGGCGGGCAGGGCCTCAAACACATGAAAGAGCCCCAAGCCTTTCTAATGCAGACCTGGGTGTCTGCAAGGCTTTGATGGGGAAGAAAGGAAGGTAGCTGCTGTTGGGTATTAATACATTTCCCCTTACAAAGGGCCGGGCCCGCCCACAGCTTTGTTGATTCTCCACTGGGAAAAGGGTGATACAGCATGATGTTTCCCAAGGCAAGCTCCTCTTTCCACACCAGGTACAGCCTCTATTTTCTGGCAGGGCCCTGACCTGCAGCCTTCTTGCCACACCCATATGGGGAGTTGACTCACTCTGCTCACTTGGGGCCGTGGTTTTAAGGGCCTTCCTTGCCTTAGGCACCTAGTCATGGCTGCATCTGGTGACCAAGGCATAAGACTGGAGGATCTTGGAGCCAAGACCCCACTTCTCTTAAATTTTGGGAAGGAAGGGTTGTGACACATTGGTTACCTTAGCAGGTCCTCAATAGGCCCCGCCTACCCCTGCTGCCCTCTACCAGCCCAGCAAATGCATCTCTGCCTGTGCCCAAGCAGACCCTGGCTATCCTCTGCTTTGACTATGCCTGCACCTTGATCCTGTGCCATTCGAATCCTGGGAACCCTCCTACATGAGCTTTCTTCAGCTCCCAGCCACATTTGACTCCTGAGTCTGACTCAGCCCCACATCTGGTGAGTCCAGACAGCCAAGCCTTTATGTCCATGGCACTCGTGTCCTTCTGAGACAACGTATTCTATTTCTGTGCTATCGAGATTCTTGTCTCATACTCCTTGGACCCCAGAGCACTCTAGGATGTGGCAAGATGCTATGCAGAGGGCTCTGGCTGCTCAGCCACAGGCTTGGTCTGTTCTCAGCTCTGTCTGCTGGAGCAATGTGATCAAAGGAAGTGCTCTTTCTCTGCAAGTTCCAGGCTCTTTCCCTGTAATGGGGTAGCTACAATTCTTCAGCAGGAACCTCAGTGGGGTGGGGGTAGGGGTTGGTGGATGCTGTGAGGCTCCAGCATGAGCCAGGGCATATATCTGTTGATTGAAGGCCCTGCCCCAGGCCTCCAGGATCAACCTTGGACATCCCTGGTTTTTCACAGTTATGACAGTTGAGTGGCAAACTGAACACAGTTCTATCATGGCTCTG